CCTTATCTCCTTCATGGATCTGTTACTAGAATTTTATCGTTTGCACCTGTCACATTTGAAAAAAAATTGGTTAAATTTATTTTAAAAGATAACCAATCGTTCATTTACCTTTCGTCAACGACTTTTTTCTTAGATATTAATCTTGGAACACAAGAGTACGAACCATCCTTGGTAAAACTCAGGAAATTAGTGAATTTTGTGAGGTTTTTCAGGATTTATTAAGCAGATTTTGTCTTTGATTATGATTGAAAAAACGACGGAGTAAAGGATAATTAGACCGTTTTTCCTGTGTTAAAAAAGTCCAATCTTATGACTGAATAGAGGGTATTCAGTAACCATCAGGGTAGTGACCACCACAGTTAGCTATGTCCGGTAAGCGAGTGCTCTGATTACTTCGATGATAGCCCTACACATCAGCGGACTGTTGCTCAGAGATGAGATGTGAAGGCAAAATTTTCTTCCTGTAGACATATTGGAATCTTCTAGTCTCCAGGCCTGGGTTGCACCTTTGCAATATTTTAGGCCTTACTCCGATAGTTTAAATGATTTTGATTATCTTTTACAGTGATGATCAGATGAATGAAAAGTTTCCAGGTACTTCGTGCAGCAAGAGTATTGCTCCTAATATTGATAACAAATATTTCACTAGTTTTACATTCACACCTTTGCCCCATACACAAATCTGGCAGTCTTTCTACAGTTGATTTTAACCAGAATTGCCCGCAGGGGCAGATGAAGGAATATGCTGGAAGTACTTCAAGTTTATAATTTTAAAATATTTGACTCGAAACAAGCCTTTCATTGTCTATAATCAGATTAACAAAATCGCTCGGACAGTCGGTGCGAGTATCCCTTTTTAGTAATGTTACTTGAACACCCCTGTGTGTCGAAAACAACTGTAAAAGGCCGACTGGTCTTTATCAAGGTGATATTGTCATTATCAATGCATCATAAAAAAGAGTGTTTGCCAACGAGTTATTTGAGGAAGAAGACACCAAGAGTCTCTTTTTCTGCGGAAAAATTCTATTTTTGCTCATATTCAAATATAATTGTGGCACTTATTTCTAGGAGAAAATGCGAGTCAAAATTTATGCCAAAAATTTTTTTATTGCAGAGACATCGTGTATAATATCAGTGTTGGGACATTCGTTGAGGTGCAATCCATCAAATGGCCATCCAAGCAAACTGTGGTCGATGAATGTTTGATGAAAGGAAAGTCAAAGGTAATTACGCATCTTTCCTCTTTTCTCCATCCTTCCCTCGACTTTTCTCTTTTCATTTTCCCGTAAAAATTGACATTCCTCCAGAAATATTTTCAAAACTGTTGGGCACGTCTTGGCACTAAGGCATATCACGGAGACGCTGCCAAAAATTCATTGTTTAGAAATTTGTTAAGTTTTGGAAATATCGTTTCACTGCTTAGCTGACAGTCGTCTAAAATCAGCAGTGTTGCGACGAGAAAATTTACCACATGACCTTGAGATTTTGAGGTAATCTAAGAAAAATTCAGATAGTGAGGGAGGAGTGGATGATTCTTAAGTAAACACCACCCCAGGAATAAATAGTTCAGCTTGATTTATCATGCAAAGCAATGCAATTTTTTACCTCTTTTTTTGTTGATTTGCTCAACTTTTTATAGGAAAAATTCAGACTCCGGTGCCAGGTATTTCCCGCATTTGCTGTTCTTACAGTAGGGCGCCCCATAGACAGGTCAGTTTGTAAACATGCAGGCAGGAGCGGGCGAACAAATTATTAGGAATAGAAGAAATTGAATGATTGTTTTTATGTTTAAAATAGTTTCTTGTGGAAACATTTAAAACAGCGAAGTTGGAAAAACTGGTAAAATATCAAAAATGATTCCTGCAGTAATATGACAAAAACAATAGAAACTGAGGGCGTTTTGTAAAGATCGAGCAGATATGCCAGAATTCTCTTGGAAGTCCAAGTTGAGTCTAGTGGTTTTAATTATGGCCGCCTGAACTGTAAAATAAAGTTTTGAGCGACGAAAACTAATCTACGCCGGAGTACCAAAACTCCTGGGTTAACATTATGGTTACCCCATGTTAATAATGTTACTGGGATATTCCTGTGTACCGATGTCAGCTATGTCAGGTCTTCGATCCTGAGTTGCATGCCTTTGGTTAGTATCCAATAGAAAAATGAAATTTAAGCATTAATTCAAAGTGTTCAAAATAGAAGCGGTACTGACATGTAATAGCTTGAAGGTTCGACTCCGCTAAGGGGACAACCGGTTGTTCTACGATTCATTTATTTGTTTCTTTAACAAATTGGTAATGGCACATGCAAGTGAAGTTAAACCCATCATCAGCCTGCTTGCAAGTAACCCTAAAAAGAGTGAGCTATCGACAACCTTGTCAGCAAGTGGTTCCTATTGACGCTGCCACTTTCCGAATGTCACCTCGTCTTATAGGTAACGAACATGAACATGAAAGAGGATTTTAAATTTTGACGAAATCGAATACTCTTGCACCTAGGCTTTTATTCCTGACTGTTAATCTTCGATCAGGAAGCGTGCCATAATTACATACGAGTACTCGCGAAGGATGATGGCAGCAACGTACTGGTCTGCGGTACCAATGCCTTTCAACCGATGTGTCGGAAATACGAGCTCGAAAAATATGGTGAATATCGGCAAAATCTGGAATTCTCGGGTGTCGGTATTGCGCCTTACGACCCAAACCATAATTCAACTTTCTTGAGAGATGGCGATCTGTTGTACGCTGGTACAGGTATGCTTTATTTTCAATGTATCGTTATTAGAATCATCGTAGAATCTTTCGGATTTTTGAAGTGTAATGTTGGGTGCCTCCAGTACACTAATTGCAGTAGCTCCTTTCCTGAGACGTTTGCTTTGCAAATTTTGTTGGGAATTTTACGCGTTTTTACAGCTCAAACGACGTTTGAACAATATTTCTTCTTAAAAATCACTGTTGCAGAAATATAGATTTTTACCAGCTTTTTGACTTTTTATTTTCGAAATTTAAGTTCAAAAAATGCCTTCCTATATTTTTTTAAATAATTTTTAATGGTTCTTCTTCATTTTCATGTTTCAATTCTGAAAAAACAATAAGATTTATGCCCGCTTTTTTGCAAAATTTTGCAGGTTTTTTTGGATCAAAGTCATCCAACTTATTTTTTGGAAGTATTTTTAGAACTTAGTGATTTATGTTTCGAAACTTAATTTTAGGGTCAAGTTTTATAGTTAATTGGTGGATTTGCAAAAATTTCTAGAAACAGTTCAGAAGTTATTTTTAATTCTCTTTATAGCCTAAATCTGCTTACACATTCATATTTACAAGCTATTCTCGAAGACTATTACTAGTCAAAATCTTTTGTATTATTTCATACAAAAAAGCTGTAGTACTACTCTAACACTTCGCAATTTACTTGATAACATTAAAAGTGAATTTTTGCAAAAATTCGAAAATTCAGGAAGATGAAATTTCGGATTTTTGTATCAAAATTCAGTGACAGGCACTCTTCAAAAAAATGGCCGAAATGGTGGAATGACTTCGAAAAGAGCATCACGCAGTGGCAATCCCTTCCTCTCAGCGTCTTGTTCTCCGTGTGCTAACCAAATGGCCTTCAAATTCGCATAAATTTTATAATGCTAGTAAAATGAACTACTTTTACTGCCACTACGATTTGTCACAGTAGCGAATGTCGTAGACTGGGGCAACCTGCCCATCGTATTCAAGCAAACGGCATACCATGCACGTACGAAATGGAAAAATTTCGCAGTAAAATTATTCCCAGTTAATAAAAATTGGCATTTACAAGTATTTCTGGAACAGAGCAGAATATGGAGCATGAAAAGAGAACGTCAATAAGCGAGCTAGAAAAAAATTATGAAGGAGCAATTCGTGCAGTGGCAGTCAGGATATTTCTCTGGAAAAAACTTATTTTGGGGGATACGAGCAACGGAGAGAATGCCATGGGAATGCGAAAAGTGATCACTGATACAAGTGATATCAAAAATAATTAGATACCATTTTTCAGTATCGGATTTTTCGGGCACAGATCCACTGATACATCGGCGAAACATTTCAAAAATTGTTGATCTGGGTATTCGAACGGAACGCAACGATATGAAATTCCTAAATGAGCCACATTTTGTCGGATCGTTTCGGGATGATGAGGTAAGTTAGCTCTATTAATCTAATTTTTATGCGTTTTTGCTGTGCAGCGCTATAGCAACGCTATAGCGCTGCTACAGCCAGCAAAAAC